GCCATTGCACTCCAGCCTGGGTAACAAGAGCGAAACTACGTCTCAAAAAAAAAAAAAAAAAAAAAAAAAAAAGAAACATGGACATTCAGCATTTTAAGCACTTTTGGTCTCTTATTTTTATTTTTATTGAAAACAATGTAATCAGAGTAAGTAAGAAAAAAAATAAAACCACTTATAAGCTCACCAAACAGTTATAAACCTATTAAGATTTACAATACTCATTTATACTTTTAAATGTATAGGTTTGTAAATAATTGTACATTATATATACATACACTATATATATATAGACACACACACACATAAACAGGTGATTATGATAACAACTATTTTGTAATCTTATTTATTTTAATTTATTTTTATTTTTTGTATAGATGGAGCCGGGCCATATTGCCCAGGCTGGACTCTAACTCTAGGCCTCAGTTGATCCTCCTGCCTTGACCTCCCAAGTGCTGGGATTACAGGCGTGAGCCACCATGCTCAGCCAAAAACTATTTTTGTTTTATTTTTAAAATTCACTTTCATTTATTTATTTTTGAAACAGGGTCTCAATGTGTCACCCAGGTTGGAGTGCAATGACATGATCATAGCTCACTACAGCCTTGAACTGCTGGGCAAGGAATCTTCCCACATCAGCTTCCCAAGTAGCTGGGAATACAGGCACACGTGACCACACTCAGCCAATTTTTTTTTTTGTAGAGATGAGGTCTTACTATTGTTGCCCAGGCTGGTCTCAAACTCTTGAGCAATGAGTGATCCTCCTGCCTCAGACTCCCATAGTGCTGAGATTGCAGGTGTGAGTCATCCCAGGCTACATGACTTTGATCATGGAGAAAATGGAAAGAGTGAAGCGGAAAGACGTGGTACCTGTTCAGGAAAAGCAGATCTTTCCAGGGCCTCTCAGCCTCCGCCTCAATGATCTGAACTGTGTCGATGAGCCCGGCTGCAAAGGGCAATAGGAAGGGAGTCTTTTGCTGGACCTTCGCTGAAACTTTGCTTTTTGTTGTTATTTGTTTTTTGTTTTTGTTTTTCTTTTTTGAGACAGAGTTTCACTCTTGTCACCCAGGCTGGAGTGCAATGGCGTGATCTCAGTTCACTGCAACCTCCTCCTCTCGGGTTCGAGTGATTCTTCTGTCTCAGCCCCCTGAGTAGCTGGGATTATAGGTGCCCACCATGCACAGCTAAATTTTGTATTTTCAGTAGAGACAGGGTTTCACCATGTTGGCCAGGCTGGTCTCCAACTCCTGGCCTCAGGTTGTTGTATTTGACCGGAGCGTAGAAAGTTATCACAAGACAAAAGTATGCCAGATTGCAGGGTCATTTATTATGCCTGCGACCACGGAGGACTCACGTCTCTCCAACCTCTGGTGGCAACAGGAGGGTGCCACGATTTTTTATACCCAAAAAACCACCTTGGGAGTGGGGGTGAGGGGCGGGGATGGGGATGAAAAGGCTTCAGACATTCCGAGGGCTAGTGGATTCTGTAAATTACCTCCTGGGCAGAGATGAGGGTGGGGGTCTCCGGACATTCCAAGGGCTAGGGGACTTTTGTCATTCCGTTTGTTACTTAAGTGGTTTACAGAAGTCCAGATAAACATTTGTTTACACATTATCTGGTTAAGGTGGAAATCACAGACCTTAGTTACTTATTACAAGTCACAGGAGCCAGGATGGAACTAGCTTGGGCTGCTTAGTCTGGCAATTGCCGGTAAGCAAAGGCTAGCAATTCTGGCAGTTACTGATAAGAAAAGGTAAGCAGCTTTACATAGTTTTGAACAAACTGGCAGTTCTATTTACAGAGGCCAAGGACAGTAGTTATTGTTAGGAGAATGGGGCAGCCATTTCAACTTATCTAAAAACAGTTTTGCATTTTATAAAATAGTTTTGCTCCAGTTCTGGCTCTAGGCCAGCACAATATCACAAGGTGATCCAATCACCTCAGCTTCCCAAAGTGCTGGGATTACAGGCGTGAGCCCTCCTGCCCGGCCTTCATTGACAC